TTTACAGCAGATGATGCTTTTCTTTTGATAGCAGAAGAGTTTTCTTGTGGTTTGGGTAAGATCCCGGGTGAAATAACCACTTGTGGGGTTGGTGATATTAGTACCCCCTCAGAGGGACTTCCCCCTACTGCACTAGCTTGTTGTAATCCCGATAACTTGGCTACAATTTGGTCAACCAAGGACTCCTAGTTTTTCTTAATGGACTCCAGGGTGCTCTGATTGTTTTGAGCCATCTTATCTTCTAGTTCTTTTGCAGTCTTGCCATGTTCTCCTCGAGTTTTTCCATTTTGGCCTCCATTTGTCTTTTATTTGCTCGAGTATTATGTGGATGATACGTATTTAATGCTTGCAGTGGTAAATTTGGTGTTTGCTCTTTCCCTTTCTGAGACATGTTCTGTTAGTTAATATGGATGTAAAAACATGGAAAATATAAAAATAAACATGAAATATAAAATGCAAAGTATGCAATGCACAATGTATGCAATTTAGAGGCATTGATCCAGAAAAGTGTATATTATTATAAATAATCCTTATTTAGACAGAAATGTTTTATCTAGTAGGTTAACAAGTCTTCTGCCTTCAACTGTCATTGGTTGAATGCCTTGTCGAACTACTCCAGCTTCCCTTGCCAGGCCGTGAAGATGACAAGTTGCTTTTTGCACTTGATCCAGGAAATCTCGGATGACTGCGTCTCTAGCTTTCACCCTTTGTTGTGCTTGCTTCCAATGGAAACGCCACTGCAGAGCTCCGTCGAAGGGTACTATCTGAAGGTCGGCTGCTTGCTTCTTGAATCCATCCACAATAACTTCTAACTCGGATATTGTTTTTCTATCTCTCTCATGTTATTTTTCTAGGTCAGCCATCTGGATTCTCTAGCATTGATTTTGATGCTGACTGTCTGCTAAGCTCCTCTGAGCAGTTTTCAAATGTTCTTTCTCTAGCATTGATTTTGATCCTGAATATATGTAAAAACTTTTATCCACTTTTCCTTTGAAGCACATTCATGCCATTTCCTAGTGATGAATTCTCCCAAAGGTGAATAGGCAGTGCTGAATCGGCGATAAGCTACCTCATTAGTCTTCCAAAAGTGGCTGCGAATCCAGACTTGAAGGAGCTGAATACACCCAACGAACCTTCCTCCGCCAGTTCTTCTGCAATGGTTGAGAGATCGAAAGGTTTCGGCTAAGATGGCTGGTGCTGGGTTGACTTGCCTTGGAAGTTGTTCGAATAGCTTTACCACGGCTGCGTCGATGCAGCCCAAAGTCTTCGGAAAGATAACCAGATCGTACAGACCTAGTTCAAAAAGGTCTATAGTCTTCCATTCATCAGGGTGGTTCTTCATTAGTTGCCTTATATGAATCCACTCGATTCCTTCCCCGTTACCTTTGTGTCGAAGTCGATCAGTCACCTATTTTTCATCAACCCCTACAATCTTAGCTAGTTCATTCTTGAAAGGCTGACTTTTGATATGTTTGATATATGCCCTCTCTAGTCTGATGTTTTCGTAGTGCAGTAGGGTAGTATACTCTTCAATTGTGGGCACCATGTTCTCACGGTTAAAGGTGAAACAACTATATCCCGAGTTCCAGAATTGAATTAATTCTTGGTGCAGGGGCTCATCAGTCTTGACATGGAGTAAGAGGGCAATATCACCATATCGTTGGCTGAACTTCTGATTTCTGTCATTCCCCCAACTATCCCAAATATTTCGCAGTTGTTGGACATCGTTTTGTTTAAGGCTGACAGATGCGTAACTAACAAGCTATGACACATAATTTCCCTGAAGACTATCTCCCTTTTCTTTCTGAGTCTTCTCGGACCATAGTCGTGCCTCAGCGTTTTTAATCTCTTGTATTACAACACCTTTTTCCATTAATTCAGATTTATTTTGTGTTTAACAAACGCTTTTTAAGGATCAATAGCCTCTTGTTATGATGCAAATGCTAGAAAACAAACACAAATGCAAAAGGATTAGTAAAAAAAATGACGAAAGAAAAAAACACAAAAAAATGGTTAGGGTAAAAATATCCTAGGTTTTGGAATATGGTTTCGAGGTAGGCTCTAATTCTCCATGGTTTCCCGGTTTAGGTTCTAAAAACGGTACTCGAGTTCTCCTTGCTGGTGCCCTCTTGGGCTTGCTAGACCCTTAGTCTTAAACCCATCACAGGCTTGTGTGGACTAAGTTAAACTCGAGAGGACACATTCCCTTATGCCCGCACGGTGAATAAATTCACACGAAGACATAAGGTATATGAATCCCGAAGGCTACTTGCTAGGCCCGCACGGTGAATAAATTCACCCGAAGGTGTCGCTTTCACCCTCACTTAAGACAGGGTTTAGAGCTTGAGTATAGAGCCTTAAATGAAAAAGATTTGAAGGCTAAAATCACGAGAAAACGATTAGTACAACTATTTACCCGAAAATATAATCAAAAGTAAGAAAAAAGGATCGAAATGTTACCATAAAATTTAAACTTACCCTTTTCGTTAAAAAGACAACTGGAAATTACCTTAGCCTGACTCACTTACCTATCCCTAGTGGAGTCGTCAAGCTGTCGTAACCGTTTTTCGGTTGGGCCCCGAATTGGGCTTCGACTTGAAATAATTGGGTTGAGAGTCACCACCGATCATTTATTTTATGAAAAATGGGTTGATCGGATACCTTATTTCTTACCTGATCTGTATCGTACCAAAGATGTGTCAGATTCGGGAGTCGGTTACAGTCAAGGAAGGGTTAGCACCCTTGAACTGCCCTTTCGGTACTATGTAATTTCCAATTGTCTTTAATTAAGAAAATTGAAAGTTTAACTTGAAAGGTAAAATAACGATCCCAAATACTTACCATTGATAGTTTTAAAAGTGTACCCTTTAGGAAGTCAAGAAACATGTTAGATAAAAATATAGTAAAAATGAATAAAATAAAGAAGGTGAAATAAAAATAAATGCAATAAAGTAGAGAAAATAAAATAGATAAAGAAGATGCAAGCAAGATAAAGAAAATAAAATAAAGAGGCACAAAAACAAATATAAAAAATATAAATAAAAAACATAAAATAAAGAAGATAATAACAATAACAATAAAAAAATAAAAATAGAAGATAAAAAAATAAAGATAAAATGAAATATAAAATAATAAAATATTAATTTATAATTATAGTAATAAAAATATATAAATAATAATGATTATGAAAAGAATTAAGTATATATATATATATAAATAACGATAGAATATAGAAAATAAAAAATATAAAAAAATAGCCAAATGAAGATAATTAATATATATATATATATATATATATATATAAAAATATGCATGTAATATCAAAAGACTATTATAAAAGAAAAGCTAAATTTGGGGTCAAATTTGAAAGACAATTAACGTTGATATTGTATTAGAGGGTCAAAATGAATGTTCTAACTTTAAGCTTTTCTTCTCTATTTTTCGAAAATCCAAATAATTTTCTAAGATCGGGCCTCGGGATTACTAGATCTACAAAATAGATCTTTAAAAAATCTTCACATTCATCGGCCAAAAATGATTTTATTTGGGTTTGACTCGAGCAAAAATAATGGAGAAACACACATGCAAAGACTTAAAGCGATAAAGGTACAAGTTTTTACCTTTTCTACTTATTTTCCTCTTCGAGAATCACCTTTTTTGCTCTGATTTGCTAATAATTTCTGTTGTTTATTTCGTATATCGTCTGTTACAAATGGGGAGGATTACATGTATTTATAGTGAAAAAAAACTAACTAACAATAGAATCCTAATGCAACTAGACTCCTTGCTCGGTTGTTGCACGTTTGTTGATGTGATTGTTGCTTTAAAAAATATGGTGGTGGAAGAATCCTCTTAGGAGAGGAACTCTTGTTAGCTCTACCTTTTAAGAAAATTGGTGTCTACATGATGAGAGGCCCGACAGTGTTGATGACAAAGTTAGACAAAAGGAAATGAGAAAGGGTATTGATTTGGCTACCACGCTTGAACGTATAGAGAAAAACTTTGTCATTATTGATCCCAGGTGCCTGATAATCCCATTGTAAGACTTTTGAACTCTAGCTTTTATGATTTTTAATGGTGAATCATGCAAATTGGAGATTAACTTGTAAGAAACTAGATGATTCTACTTGTCTTGGTGTTCAGATCTTTGCCTCTTATAGCTTCTTGGAGCTAACAGAGTACAGTCGTGAGGAAATCCTGGGCAGAAATTGCAGGTATGCCTTAACAAGAAATTCCACTCATAATCTGATAGCATAAAGGTTTGAAAAACTGGTAAAGAATGAACGTAAACCATAGCCTTTCTTGGCTGATGTTTAGCCAAAATATTTGAACTAATAATGCAATTCACTTCATTTAATTTTGTGCGGTGTTAAACCTTTATAGGTTTCTTCAAGGCCCTGAAATTGATCCGGCTACTGTAAGGAAGATTCGAAAGGCAATCGATAACCAGACGAAGTAACTGTGCAGCTCATACTACACCATGAGTGGTATGGTTATTAACATTTTTCAAGTTCCAACACCCTGGAATTGCTTAAATATGAGAATAATCTTCATTTTCCCGATTCATGTCATGAATGTAATGTTGTTGTCTTTCAGTATTTAAGGAGTTTATCTTCCTAGACCTTTAATTATTTAAAGATTTCTGTACAAATTTCAGGCAAGAAATTCTGGAACCTGTTCCATCTACAGCCTATGCGTGATTAGAAGGTAAAATCCTCTAAATGTTCAGGGTGGAATATGGATGTTTCATCTTGCCATATAACTCCATCTCTATATATTTATTATATAAATATTTTTTAAAACCCTCAGTTGAACCGTTTCGTCTTGGGATTTCCGTGTTTGACAAAAAATAAAAATAAATAAAAATAAAAATAGAAGTCTAAGGTTCAAGGAAATAGAACTGGGCTGAACCGGATAAAATGAGTCGGTTAGGGCAGTTGCTGTTGCGTAGAGAATATAAATAAACAAGAGACATATGAAGAGAGCGACTTTAGTGAGTAAAAGAAGAAAAATAAGCATTAGAAGAGGGCTCTCTCTTGGTGGAGCTTACCCCCCAATTTATCCTTTACGATTCCATTATCAAACCATTAAAGGTATTTTTCAGATCTAACCCCACTCTTTTTTTCCTATTCTGTAATGTCAAAATTTATTTAGTCAAAATATTTTCTCAAATAACAAATTATGACAAATTTAAATAGTTATAATAACAAATTTTAATAAATATTAATTCATCAATATAAAAAATTAAGACAAATAATATTCTTTCACAATAACAAATTGTAACAAATTTATTTAGTTACAATAACATAGTAAATTTTGCCAAAATAAAAATTTATGCCAAATTTATTTTGTCACAATATTTTGTCAAAATAAAAAATTCTAATAAATTTATTTAATCAAAATAATAATTTATAACAAATATTAATTTCTCATCATAAAAAATTGTGACAAGTAATATTCTCACAATAAAAAATTATAATAAAATGATTTAGTCATAATAACACGTTAAATTTAGTCAAAGTAAAAAGTTATGTCAAATTTATTTCGTCATAATATTTTGTCAAAATAAAAAATTGTGACAAATTTATTTAATTAAAATAACAATTTATAACAAATATTAATTTCTCATTATAAAAATAAAAAATTGTGACAAAAAATATTCTTTCACAATAACAAATTGTAACAAAATTATTTTGTCACAGTAAAAAGTTATAAAAATATTTAGTGACGAAATAAAAGTAGTGAGAAAATAAATTTTGTTGTAATATATATTTTTGTCACAAAATTTTTTTTTATTTGATGTTATAATTTAACTTAATTGTGATGAAATTTACTTTTTATGATAAAATAATTATTTTATTTTAACAAATATTTTGTTTCTGTAAGTTACATTTCGTGACAAATAACAACCGCGATAAAATAATTTTTGTTGCCTTATGTATTTTCGTCACAAAAACCCTTTATATTTGATATTTAAATATAAGTTAATTATGACAAAATGTATTTCTCGTGACGAAATAGTTAATTGATTGTGAAAAATATTTTATTGCAATAAGTTAATTATAGTAACGAAATTTCATTGTTACAATAAATATTATATAATGGTAACGAACACGGTTTTGTCACAATATACTTTACATGACAAGGTTGTTCTAACAAACATGGTAACAAATAAAATTGGTCAAAATAAATATATCGTGACAAATTTAATACTTTTAGTGATAAATAATTTTGTTAAAACAATCGAAATTTCTTGTAGTGAATTTCAGCTGCTCGATTGTGACGTTCAAGTGGGTCTTTTTTTCAATTCATCACATTTATCGTGCTAAGCGGGTTGACTCACCCGCTCAATGGTTGGACCGACGGTCTACATCTGTTTCAACTCACGGTGGCTCTCACCCTGTTCAAGATTCTCACGGCGTTGGTCTCGTGCACCACCTCCATTATGCTTATTACCCTTGCTTCTCAAGGTCAAGGTGAGGGAGTTTGTGTCGTGGAAACGAGATCGGTGCACATGTCCGAATGCTAACTCGAGAAATCCAAAAATTGTTGGATCGACATACCGTTTTGTACACGACAATTGTGTAGTTGTCCAAGACATTATGTTTCCAGAATTGTGTTGTATGGATGCCTAATGGGATCAAGACCGAGATGAACTTGACACATTAACTCAATATAAGAAATCGTTCATGTAATTTTGTGATTCTGATTTCGGATCGGGATGTCATGAGGATTAAACAAAATGATGAAGTGAACATTCTTGATTTTGACTCGGTTCTTGCCACTACTAGCAATGGAAGGTATAGTGAACCAGGACCAGTGGTTGTAATTCAAATGCCAATGCTTTGAGTGAAGAAGAAGAAAAGAAGAAGAAGAGCCGGTCAAAATGGTCCAGCTATGGCGGTCAACGATCTAACTCGTTAGATAACGGGCCAACTGTGTTTTTTGTTACGCCTATTAACGGTTGTTAACTTCGAGTGGTCATTTTGTAACAAACGATAACGTTAGTGACCGATTTGTGACTTTATATATATATATATATATATATATATTATGAAATTATTAATAAAAATTTAAAGTTATTACTTAAGTTAAAAAATTAATTTAACTATTATATATAAAAATATTGTTAATTTATTATAATTTTTTTTAATATATATAAAAAAATATTGTTAAATTTATTAAATAATTTATTTTTTAATATATATATATATATATATATATATGAAATTATTAGTAAAAATTAAAATTATTATTTAAGTTAAAAAATAATTTTATTATTATAACAGTAAACAGAAACAACTAATTAGGCTCCATAAAGTCTCTGTAATAACGAAGCAACCTCCTTTAGTGATTTAGAGAAAAGAGTAGCACCGATGGGAGTACCTCGCCCTAAAGCTGCGAACCTATATATATTTATTGTTAATTTTATTAAATAATTTCATATATTTGTTAATAAAAATAAACTGAATTAATATATCATTAAAAGAAAGTTAGAAGTATTTTTTTTTAAATTTTCTTTTGTCATTCATTATAGTATATTGTATTTTAAATGTTATATTTCATAACCGAGAAGTAGGTATAACATAACAGTTTAGGTGCTGATAAATATCCCAAGGGACAGTCTTGAATCGCGCTTCCCCCATCTTGTGTGATATCTCTTCTTATTATTAATTTTCTACTCAATCTGATTGGGTGGAAAATAAAATAATTAAATTAAAAATACTCTTTATTCATGTATTTTGACACATGTCATAATTTGATTGGAGGATTAAATTTATTAAATTAAATTTAAAATTAGTAGAAGATTGATAGAATACATAAATATTGAGGACTAAATGTATAATTATATATTAATTACCACGTCAGCACTTCCGGCTATTGTTAACAACAGGTGGTTTGATTGATAATAATTAGATAATTTGATTGACAAAATTAAAAGATCGATGGTAAAAAATAAAATGACTAAATAATTAAATGATTAATATACACTTTTTCCCCTTTTAAAAAATTAACTAATCAAAATAAAATTATAAAAATAATTTGGTAACTAAATACAAAGCTTACATTTATTAATATATTAAAGTATGTAATCTTGTGAGTGCGATCATAACAGCACTAATGCACCGGAATTCATCAGACTCCACAGTTAAACATGTTTGGGCTAAATTAGTATTAGTATGGGTGACTATCTAAGAAATCCTCGTGTTACACCCCTCATATTAGATACAAATATTATATTCCTTCACTCATAATTTGTCTCGATTTGGATTTAAGAAGATTACACCCATTATTAGATCAAAATACGTTAAATTCATACAATTAACATGAGCATGGGAATTTTCCTAGCCGATTGATGAGTCTGAATTTTCTTTGTTCATTATCTCACTGATTAAGAATGTAAATCAATAGCCAATGAATTCTTCAAGATCCGGAGAACAACAAAATCTTGGAGAAAAGCATTGTGTCCAATCCCTGGACAAAAGAATTTGACCAAGAATTTGCAAGATACATCCATGTAGGATGTAACATCCACCCAACCTAGAAAAAATAGCCAAGAGAATCCCAAAAGAGGGGTGACCAGAATATCATATGTTGCTTCGGTCGCTAATACCAATACCAATGGAAAGACCATAGGTGCTAAGTTCCTGGAGGAGGAGATTGTTTTCCAAGAGGGTGATGCCAAGATTGATACTAGCGGCCCTTACCTAAAGATAGATTTTAAAATCGGGTACATGATATAATTGATCGCAATATGAAGCTCACGGTTATAGTTCGTCTATTGGGAAGAAAGATTGGCTACAATGCTCTAGTTAATGAATTCACCTATTATGGAAGTGGTTGGAAATATACCATAGTCGACCTTGAAAACGATAATTACTTGGTTTTGGACAAAGAAGAAGATTACACCAAGGCCCTTACCGAAGGCCCTTAGGACTATTTTCGGAAGTTACCTCACCGTACAACCATGGAGTAGAGGTTTCTCAACAAATGAAAGTCACTCTTCACGCCTTACAGGTACTATACCAACACACTACTGAGAACTATTGCTAAAATGATAGGGAAAATTGTGATCCTCTCCTATAGAATTGTACTGAAATGCCCTCAAAAATGATAGGTACTATACCAACACACTACGAAATAATGTACTGAAATTTCTAAACAAGATACTTACAATAGAAGAAACCATATAGTGATTTTTATTAGAGGAAAGATAAAGAATAAAGAAACAAACGAGCATAGAAAAGACAAGGGTGGGGAGAGAGAAACCCATCAAAATGAAAAAGCCAAGAGACCATAAAATACATGATAACCCTGCTCTAAAGGATTGGATACAAACCTTATCATCCCAAAGTGAAGACACTGTCCATTTGGAATGAGATAACACAAAAGGAATACATGTACACCGATATCTAGGAATACGTTGAATGTGGGAGAGACCATTGATAGTTTAGAATGATGATGAGACTCGTGGGGGTATCAAACCCGCATCCATTAATTTCTTTTATGTTGTCTACTATTATTTTTGGAATACCCAAGGAGTGGTAAATCCGAAATTCATGAACAGCTTAAAGAGATTTTAAAACGGAGAATCCCAAAATTGTTGCCCTTTTTAAGACCATAACTAGTGGAAATAGGGCTGGCAAAATCGTTGGTAAACTAGGTTTTGAAAACTTATTTCAAATCGAAGCGTAAGGGTTTAGTGGATGCTTTGGTACAACTCAATCGTTGTTGAGATCCTCCAGATTTCCAATCAGTATTTGCATATGAAATTCAAACTTAACAGTGGTATGAGATGCTATTTTATTACTGCACTTTACGCAAGCCCCAACATTTCTATTAGGAACCATATTTGGCCTCTTTTATCTAGTTAAACCCAGGTGATGCTGAGGCCTGGATTTTGAGAGGCGACTTTAATGGCACCTTAAGGACTGAGGATAGGCATGGAGGACATGGTCAGAATAATGGAGGCAGGAAGCACTTTAATGATTTCATTTTTAACAATAGTCTCACTGACTATCCTACTAGGGGTAAAATTTTACTTGGAGAAGGTGAAACCTTTGGAAGAGACTTGAATGGGGCCTTATGAATGATAAATGGGTGAATTTGTATCCAACTTCTAAAATTCTACATTTGGACAAAATTGGTTCTGATCACAATCTGCTCGTTCTCCAGATTGATGGGGATTCGATCAAAAGATAGAGGTGGATTCGTATGATAGTTGCATGGATGAACCATCCCAATATCAATGAATTCTTTAGCGAAGGAAATAGGGCTGGCAAAATCGTTGGTAAACTAGGTTTCGAAAACTTATTTCAAATTGAAGCGTAAGGGTTTAGTGGATGCTTTGGTACAACTCAATCGTTGTTGAGATCCTCCAGATTTCCAATCAGTATTTGCATATGAAATTCAAACTTAACAGTGGTATGAGATGCTATTTATTACTGCAGTTTACGCAAGCCCCAACATTTCTATTAGGAACCATATTTGGCCTCTTCTATCTAGTTAAACCCAGGTGATGCTGAGCCTGGATTTTGAGAGGCGACTTTAATGGCACCTTAAGGACTGAGGATAGGCATGGAGGACATGGTCAGAATAATGGAGGCAGGAAGCACTTTAATGATTTCATTTTTAACAATAGTCTCACTGACTATCCTACTAGGGGTAAAATTTACTTGGAGAAGGTGAAACCTTTGGAAGAGACTTGATTGGGGCCTTATGAATGATAAATGGGTGAATTTGTATCCAACTTCTAAAATTCTACATTTGGACAAAATTGGTTCTGATCACAATCTGCTCGTTCTCCATTGATGGGGATTCGATCAAAAGATAGAGGTGGATTCGTATGATAGTTGCATGGATGAACCATCCCAATCATGAATTCTTTAGCGAAATCTGAAATAAAGATGAAGATATAGCAATCAATACTGAAAGTTTATGAAAAGGTACATTAGTGGAATCGCGAAACTTTGGCTTAATTGGAACAAGAAAAAGAGGATTCTGGCCAAATTGAGACGGATCGATAAAGCTTACAAAAGTTTATTCAGAAAAGCTGGTAAATCTTGAAAAGGAGTTGAAATTAGATCTGGAAGAAACTCTTAATCAGAAGAACTGCTTTGGTTCCAACGGGCTCGAAATAAATGGATTTATCTAGGGCATAGTATAAAATAGCGGTTTGTGGCATCTGTCACGGTTACGGTGTCGCGGTTGCGGATGGTGCGGACGTTACGTAATGTGTTGCGGCTGTCGAGGGCGTGATTTCTTCTTCAAAATCACAATACCTTTAAAATTTTATCACGTTGCGTTAATATTATGTCGCGGTGACCTTTAAAACCGTTTCGATGCAGCCATTACAATGCGTTACGGCCGTAATTTAATGCCATGTCTAGGGGACAAAATACAAATTATTTTCGCAAGTGCATGACTACCAGGCAATACAAAAAATTAATCACAACACTTAACATTTCTCCGGGTATTCTATACACAGATCAGACTTGTTGTGGAGTACTTAAGATATTTACTACAACTATAACTGAAGAGAGACCCTATAAATGTAGAGGACAGTTCCTAAAAATTAAGACTGAGAGCCCTGAAAATTTGGAAGCTACTGTGACTAATGCTGAATTAAAGAGGTAGTTTTCGATATGGGTCCCCTTAAAGCCTCGGAGATAGATGGGTTACAAGCATTGTTTACCAAAAAATAGGATCTCGTCGGTGGAAACGTTTGTTAACTGATGAAGAAAATCACGAGGAGCAGAAAACGTGATGATCTATATCAATAGAACATTAATTGTCCTTATCCCGAAAATCAGCAACCCCTCACTCATATCGCATTTTAGATCTATTAACCTCTGCTAAGTTACATACAAAATACTCACAAATAACAAGGCAAGCTTCATTCCAGAAGATCTGTAATGGAGAACATTGTCCTTGTTCAAGAAGCCATTAATTCAATGCCCACCAAAAGAAGGGGAGGAAGGGTGGACGACAATCAAGATAGACTTGGAAAAAGCCTATGATCGAATAGAATGGGATTTCATCGAAGACACTCTTAAAGATTTTTGTATACCCGATTCGTTAAGGAAGGTCATTGCGGGCGTATTAGGACTGTTACGACACAAATCCTTTGGAATGGCACACAAAACCGAGAGTTTAAACCCACAGACATCCTACAAGGAGACCCATTGTCACCTTACTTGTTTATCCTTTGCATGGAGAGACTAGGGCAAACTATCAAGTTGGAAACTATAAAGGGAAGTTGGAAAGCTATTAAATTTTAAAAAAAAATAAATGGTTATGGCCTTTCTCACTTAACTTTTGTTGACGACTGTAGACACTAAATTTTTGTCACATTTTCATTTTTTATTTTATTATTATTATTATTATTATTATTATAATTATAATTATTCTTATAATTATAATTATTATTTTATTAGTATTATATTAATAAATATTTTATTACATTACAGGCCCAAACTCGAGGCCATTTTTCACCAAACTGAGGCCGTTTTACAACAAACCCACCAGACCCGAGAAACCTTAACCCTTCTAGGGTTTCTGAAGCTTCCAGCCAACGGTCCAGATTCATCCACGTCGCGCCTCAGCTGCTAACGCTCCACTGCCAGGTGACCCAAACAACTGCTGACGACGCTCTATTGCTGCCACGCCTCCAACGAAGACTCCAGAAGACCAGGAGCAGCCGTACACGTTGAAGCCTAGGGTGAGTCACCACTATAGTTGGTGACTCACCGAACTTCGCCCTATTACCCGGTCCGAGGAGAACACTGTCGATGGTTATAAAAAGTCATCGCCATCTGCAAAATAGAAAAAAAAACGGAGAAAAAAAAGAGGAACCACCAACAACAGACAACAACAAGAAACACGAACCCACAGCAGCCAATATAACAGAAAGAGAGAAAAGAGAGAGCTTACTCGTCATTGGAGGCTATCAAAAACGTCATCGGAAACCTTTGAACTTTGAAGGTAAAAATCCTAGATCTAGAAAATTCTAAGGGGTTTTAAGATAAATAGAGGTCGTATCGGCTTAGGAATTGAAGATCTACGTTTGGTGTATTTTGAGTTTTCCAGCCACCGTTCACAAGTGGCTGGCGGCGGCGATTATCGCCGGAGCAAGGGACAGTGAGTGGCCAGTTCTCTCCCCGGTGGATGATTTTAGAGAGAAGGGAGAGAAATTCTCTCCTAAGAGAGAGATAAAAGAAAGAAAATGAGAAACTTTGGCCCTTAAGGGTCGATTATAGGGTTTTATAATCTCATCAAAATGACGCCGTTTCGATGAGGGGTGTATGCGTAATTTCACGCATGGTAAAATCATTTACTAAGTCATCTCAGTTTGTAACTTTTACGTTTAGTCACTGGAATGATTTTCTGGGCATTTAATTTTTTTTCGAATCTTATTTTATTTTTATTTTAGTCCTGGCCAGTATATTTACATATTTAGGGTAAATATATATTTAGTCCTCAGATTATAATATTTTATATTTTAATCACTGATTAATAATTAAGGATAAATTACACTATTGTATATATTTTTAATAATTTGAATTAGAGTTTTTAATTTATATACTTTACATTTTAGTCTATATTTTTAATTCCTTCTATTTTAATCACTAAAGTCAAATTTTATGCATTTTAATTTGGATTTTTTTAATGTTTTAGTCATTTAATTTAAGTTAATTCAAATTCTCAGTCAAACTAATCTAATTCAAATTTTGAATCCGCTGTTTTAAATTTTTAGTATCATTATTGTTGGTAGTAGGACCACATTAAATTTAGGATGATGACGTTTGAGTGATTTATTAAGGGCTATAATTTTTTTTCCTACTAATAAAAAAATCTTGAGCAATTTGTCTTTTTCCTTCATAAATGACACCAATCGTCATTCCTTTCTTTTACATAGTTGAAATTTGAGCTTTAGTTACTATTATAAGTTGACAATATTTTTTGATAATTATATTTAATGTAAATTATTATCTATGGTAATTACATATTAGTAATTATAATTTTATAATAATTCGAATTATCTCCATTAATTTTAATATTTTACAATTTATTCCTGTTGTTTTAATTTTATTTGTTTTAGTCACTATTTAGTTATACTTTAATTTAATTTTTTTATATATTTTTAATTTCAATATGTTTAAATTATTACTTTAATTATTATCTTATATATATATATATATTTTTTTTTAATAATAATATTTATTTTTCAATATTAAGAAAGGGCAGTCTTAAAGCAACTAGATGTCCAATTTCTGATTTTTAAATAAATAAATATTTTTTTATTATAATTAATTTAATTTATTTTAATTATTTTTAGAGAAATATTTTATTAATATTTATTTATTTTTTAATATCAAGAAATGGCTGTCTTAAAGCACCTAGAAGTCCTTTTCAGATATTTCTAAGTAAATAAATATCTTATATAAATTATAAATTAATAGATTTCTTAAAATTATATTAATAAATTTGAAATACATGGTTATGAATTAAATATATTTTTGAATTTTTAAATTTCTCATAATAGAGACAAGTATAATTAATGAGTACTAATTTTGGGCGTTGTGGGGTGCTAATCCTTCCCCAAACGTAATCGATCACGAATCCCTTTTATTATTAAAAAGAATAAATTTTTGGTTAAAACGCAGACCAATTTATCTTTTAACTGATGTTTCTTAAAAACTCTTTTAAAAGGTAATTTTTAGGTATTCGACCTACTGACCCAAAAGGCCGATGGCGACTCCCAAAATATTTTTAAATCAAAAATCATTTTTTATTCATATTAATTTCCTACCAAGTAAAAATTTCGCGTCCGGACGAAAACCGATTAAGACAGACGACCTTATTTTGTTTGCAGAAGCGGAGAAGAATCAAGCTGTCGATATCAAAAGAGTCCTGAATGAATTTTGTCAAAGTTTGGGCCATAACATCGGTTTTCCCAAATCTATAATTTTCTTCTCAAAGAATGTGGACACTCAGATGAGAAGGAAAATTGAAGCCATACTCGATTTCAAGGAAGTGCAGAATCTCGGGAAATATCTGGGTGTCCCTTTAATACATAGGAGGCTAGAAAGATCTTTACCAATACCTTATACAAAAGTGTAGGATCACCTTGTTGACTGGAAATGAAATCTCTCCTTGGCGGTAGGATCACACTTACAAAACGGTTCTTATGGATGTACCCTATTATACAATGCAAACGACTAATCTTCCTCTTAGTGTGTGTCACGAATTGGAGAGACTCACCAAAAATTTCATTTGGGGAACGAGCTGTGAAGGAAGAGGTATGCATTTGGTTAGCTGGGAACATTTTTGTAAACCAATCACTGCAGGCGGGCTTGGGTTCAAAAAGTTAAAAGATCAGAACAATGCTTTTCTTATGAAGATAGGCTATCACTTGGTTACTAAGCCAAATGAGCCTTAGGTTAGCATATTGAGGAAAAAATATGGAATTAGTGAAACCATACCGAGTAAAATTAAAAGACAGAAGACTTCAAATTTATGGAATGATCTAAGCAATATTTTGAGCACTTTTATTGAGAACTTATCTTGGAGTTTGGGTAATGGTTGTGATGTGGACTTTTGGAATAATAGATGGATATCAGATCTCGGTCCTCAATGAAGCTCAATTGAACAACCGAATAATTTACTAAGAGGGGGTGAATTGATTTTTTGAGTTTAGGGAGTAAGGAGTATAAAGATGAAATAATTTGCACAATGATTTATAGTGATTCGACTTCTCAACCAAGTCTATATCCACTACCTAAGCTCCTCAGTTAGGATTTTCTAACAAATCTACTAATTTATTCTTTCTTTTTACAGGACAAAGAGATAACTTTTACAACTCCCTAGTTTTTCAAATGCTAAGGTAGAACCAATCCTCTTTACAAAAAGAATAAAAGGTAAAAAATAAAATCTCTCAAAGGTAGGTGTTTACAAGATTTAAGCTCACTAAAACACTAATATTTACTAGAGAAATGAAAATAAAAATGAAAAGCTCTTCTCTTGCGTTTGGTTGCTTAAATAGGTATTGTCACTTTCTTCAAGTGTCATCAACTTGTTTTTATACGTTGGAATGAGTTTGTGGTCGTTTCTAGCAGTTGGAGATGTTTTAGAACCTTTGGGGATAAATTTTATGCAAATAAAGTTGCCGAGAACAAGTAGTATCAATACTTCCTTAATGAGTATCGGTACTACCTTTGTAATATTTTAAAAAACTAGCCGTTGAAGACGTTGGACTTGACCAGTATCAATACTATGTTTCATGGTATCAATACCACTGTGTAAAGTAGTATCGATACCCCTTGAGTATCGGTACCTATTTTGCATTCTAGAATTTGAGCAATTTGGAAATCAAATAGTATTATCGATACTACCTAGAGAGTATTGATACTTCTCTTACTTTTGGTATCGATACCACATGAACATATTGGTACTGTTCATGTAGTATCGATACTGTAAGAAAATATCAATACTACGTACCCAAAAACTGTTTTGTGCTCAAATTCTAGTTCAATGGACTTGAATATTTTGAAAACTTTAACAAATTCAATCAAATTCAAAAACATTTTTCCTTAATTTGTTATATCAAAATATTATAAGGTTCAACAATCTCCCTCTTTTTGATATAACAAAACATTTGAAAATTGTTTTGGCAAACTCCCCTTAATAAAATATTTCATGAATAAGATAAATATTTGAAAAATATTAAAGTTCCCCCTTTTTATTCTTGAAATTGAATTTTTCAAACCTATACTCCTCACCCTTTTTTTTATATCAAAAATAATTCAAATTTAATGGTTTAAAACAACAATTGAGAGTAAGTAAGAATTTTAGCATTAAAATCATTTGAAAAATAAAAAGCCCCCCTCAAAAAAAGCATTCAAATAAACATTTAACTTTAAAAGTTTGATACTTAAAAGACATTGAATTTCAACAAAGATGAACAAACATGTTAGTAGAACAAGAAATTCAATATATCAAAGTCTAATATACTTTATGCAATACTAATTGTTATATTTAAGTGCATGTGCATAAAGTTATTCAAAATGTTATTCATTTGAAAAATTTGATATCAATTGTTAGAGAGATATCATTTGCAATGAATCACACGCATGGACATTTACATTAAGGTCAAAAAAATTAAAATTTGTAAAAACAAAACATTAAAACCAATTTTGACCAAAATTCATTATAACAAACATTTATGAAAAAACATTAAAACTTTAGAAAATTTTCATCACAATTCTTTTTAACATACATGAGATAGAAGACATAAAACCATTTAAAATTAATCTCATGCATGCTTAAACCAAATGAGCAACCAATTATGCAAGATAATCAAAATAAG